TTGCTGAAAACCGTGCATTGCTATGACTTTTATTTAGAAAGTTAGAAGCTTTTTCTCCACCTGCCTTCTTTTAAAATTTCGATAGTAATTATGAGCGGTCAGTGAAGTCAGTGTGCGTGATTCACCAGTGACGCCGAGGATGTCAGTGCATCAGTGATCCGTGATGCACTGGTCATCGGTGCTTCAGTGGCGTCAGTGTCAGTGTGTTTGATATTTCAATGCTCAGTGACACTGGGTCTATCGGGGTGCACTGAGTGTCGCTGTCGGTGCCAGTCGGTGTTCAGTAATCTGACACCGCACATCCCTAATTTACATATAATCAATTGATTTTTACAGCCTATCCAAAGATATATTCAAAAAAATGAATTATGTTCATGTCGCCACTTCACAATAAATACTAAGATAAATTTTCTAAACAATACTTGATTGTGTATAGAACTGTCGCGAAGAATTCATGGTAGTATATCAAACAGGTTGGAGTGGATTATATGTGGACAACTATGAATAAGTAAGAATAATCGATTATATTCTTGTTTGGCTAAAGACACTTAAGTTTGCTCAGTTTTGTTTTGTGTAACACGATTCGAAATGTGTGTCGAAGTTTAGAGCAAGAAAAGTAAATTCCTCTGATTCCCTTCCTGTCCCACAGATAGTGACACTAAAAGAAATCTCGATGTACTAGTCTTAATTCGTCAAGCAATTCCGATGGACGGAGTAAGGTTACTCGATGATGGCTAAAGCGGCTCCATAGTGTTTCACATTTTCATCCAATAGATATTGCCCTGAAAGCTTGTCTATAACGATTGTTGCACGTTCAATTAATGTCTCCAATAATTTTCTATTCTTTCTTCCTTGTAGAACTTGAAAAAAATGTTCATCATGAATATTTCGTCTCTGTAAATCACATCCCATCGATATTAAAAATTCAACTAAACGATGGCGACAACCAGATACTTTAAGGCAAACATAAAGTAATGGATCATTGCCATCATTATCTGTTTGTTGCACAAAACTAGGTATTACTCGTAATAATTTCTTGATTAATTTACATTCTTTCTTTTCTAATAGAATGAATAATAATTTGGTACTGGTTAACCATGTTTCTAGAGGTTTTTCATCTAGAAGTCGTTTAAATAACAATCGTCGGCTTTGATTCCCAGTCATCATATTAATCAATGTTCGATAGTTTTCTGATCTATCAAAAAAGTGTTTTAAGAATTCGTGTTGATGACTAATATATAGGATAATATCAATTCGATTATTTATAATCAAGTTATGTAATGCTCTATGCAATCTATTATCCCAATAGTCGTCCAATATTATTTCTTTTTGAGTAAATTCTTTGAATAAAATTTTCAATATTTCCACTTGACTTGTTTGAATTATTATCTCTTGATCGATATCTTTTTCGATTGATGTCATCCATTGTAAACTATTCATAAGACAATCTATCGTCCAAGAATTTTCATTAAAAATACTTTTTAAACATTGAATAGTAAAAAGGAATAATTCTATGATAGATTGATATCTTCGCATATCGATGGAAATCGATGATGAACAAGAATAGAAATCTTGCAATCGATATATTATATAAATGAAAAAGAAATATGTCGGACAACCACCGTTACCGACATAATCTTTATTTTTGATCAGATTCGGATTTGAAATAATTAATACTTTGAACATTTCCACGAGAGAATTAAGACACTGCCAATTCGAATTTCGAAGAGTATTGAAATATGCTAGTAAATATTGATTGATTGCATTGGCTAGATTAAATTTACCTAGTTCACTATCAGTACATTCCAGACGTGCACCTTTTCGAAGAACAAAAGTTTTCAGTTGTTGGATATTTTCGAGTGTTGTCGAATGAGATTTCAATTCATTGAAAGCTTTCTTCAATGTCAAATCTCGAAAGCGAATTTCTTCAGCATCAAGATTAGCACGTATCGATTGATATTGTTCACGATTGGACAGAAATTCATATTCAACTTGACGATATTGTTCTTGAATATGAAAGGTTACTAATTTTTGAAAACATGATCGAAGTTCAGTCTTGAGATTATGACTTCGTAGCAAACATAGCTTTTCTGATAACATACGAACTAACGGAGAATCATAATAATGATCGACATTGGCCACTCGATTGTTCATATGTAGGAAATCGGTCAAGAGATGTAATCGTCGATCAATAAGAATTCTATTGAAACGTTGATTTAAACCGGAGAATGCATGAAAAATGGAATAAACATTGCCTAAATATCGAACAATGATCATGAAAATTTCATCGGGCAATGTTTCGAAGGTAGAAGACGCCATATCACCGTTTATTCTGTTTTGATGAATGCAAAGTGACACGTGTGCACACTATCAGTTATTGCACAATACTTGTTTTGAGTCATTATTCTTTCTTTTTCTTCAGTATGTTCTACCAATCCAAAGAGGCTTAGCACATTTTGATAGAAGTTCATCCATATAACGACGGCACACATATCATTGAAAGACAAGAAAAAATTCTTTTTCTCTTCTGAATATTCAAATTGACAATCTCTTTCATAACCATTATGAATCAACTTCTGATTACATTAAAGGATTTGGCAAGTGAATCACAGTCTTTAACTTAAGTCCTCAGATTCTCTCATTATAAAACTACACATTCAAGTATAGTCGAAGTTTAAAAGTACAAAATTTCAAATTTCTTCTTTGGAGCTAGCAAAGTGTTGCAAATATTGCCAATTTCGCATGATTAGTCATAGCTCAAGAGTAATTGTACTTATTTTTGTCATTCAGAATTTTGTTTCTATCCGATTACAATAATAATTTTTGTGTCTTAGCGAGCATTGCTCACATTTTTCTCTTATTGACTGCTCATTTATGATCGTTTTTTTTGTGATTCTATAAGGATCTTAAGAGAAAAATATGCAATTAATAGGATGAATTCTTATTTAAACCAAATCTTCGTATCGGTTTCATCATATACACGTAGACAAAGACAATCAATATTAAAAGATTGTTCATTACTAAAACATTTACTACTCATTCATAGTAATGCTTATTTTTTTCTAAATTCTTGTCACACAACATTAGGAATATGTCGAGATAGTATTTGTTTTCATTCGAATATAAACATAACATCATGTTATTGATTATTAGTTTTATTAAAGGTTATCTACAAAAAAAAAGTCATACCAGTATGTATTGATCATCTTTTAAATTATAAACTGCTATTCAAGTCGATATATGGAAATATTGAGATATTTTTTTATCAAGAGGATTCATCTTTTCATAGAATATACGAATGATCGAAATATTTCAATATGAACCTTGCTTTAAGTAAAAATAAGATTTCAGATTGAATGCAGTTTAATATATTTGCATGGTTGTTTCTAAAATAGAAAATCCAACTTTTTGTGATAAATTTGATTTGATGACCAAACAAAAAATAACGAAAATTTAAATATTTGAACAGATTTTGTGGCATGATGTGATCTATTCGAACAGTTCAGCTCCTAGAATTGAGCTGTCAAAAAAATGTTGTTCTGTTTTGGAAGCATCATTTCAGTGGCAGTACAACATTTTGTAATATTTTGAAGAGCCTTTCTCAGCAATAGAACAAAATTTGCTTGGACAGTTCATTTCATCGATGTAGGTTTTCTGACAGTTTGTCATGCAGTTTTAGCAAAAGACTGAGAAAGTAAGAAGCAATATCTATTGCTTAGTCTATGATTTTGAAACAATCAATGACGGTATCTGCTTTCTACTAGAATAGTTAATCAAAATATCGTTTTCTAGTGGCACAAATAAAAGTACGCTTTCAACGTTGTGCTCAAGTGAATAAAGTATTCTCCAATGAAGTGCATAAATATTTCATTATTTTCAGAAAACATTCTAACACTTAAATGAAAGGTACCCTTATAGCAAATATCAACGTGTACTGAATTTATGTTAGCAACTGCATGGATCACAGTGTCGATCAAGATCCTAACGAAATAGTCGTTCAAAAAAGAATACTCTCCAGATAATTTGTCAATAAATGGAGATGTAGGCAACTAGGAAATCCCCAAATTGATCATCAACTACTTAATTCTCTCAATTTTCAACGTTAACAGTAACTTTTAGTTTATATTGAACGATTGCAGAAAAATTTATACGTTCTTTTCATTTGATCGAATCAACAAACAAATTTCTTCTATAAAATTGAATCTCTTTCATATATCTTTCACGAATTTTGATTGGAAAAAGTAAACCTTTCTTCATGTTCACTTACATGAGCTTATGAAAGGTTGAAAATAAATATCTTTTATAAAGTAATTCAGTTGTTTTTCACTGTGATAGTACACAGTAACCTTTCCGATTATTTTTAATTCATCAATACTTCTTTCATTTGATGCCTTTAGCACGAGATCTAGAATGTTGATATGAAGGCTCGACTTAAGATATGTATACGGTGTCACTGCATAGGCGACAGAATATATTGATAACAGAAGGGAGCATACTGAACTTATAGATACATGAAATACCACTTCTTCAGTCAATACATGACTTATCCTCAACAGTGAGCTAATTAACCCAGGTCGAACATTACTGTGCCCGTAAACGGCCGTACACAGTCGTTTACGATGACGCGAACGGCCGTATCCGTCGAAATTACGACCGTATACGGGCC